ACAAATGCATTGCCCTGCAGTGTGATCAGAACTACTTAGAGGAAAGAGTAAATCCTCAGGGAAGCCTGATCAGAGCCACAGGGTTGTTTTCAAGTTCTTTGCTGTTCTGACCTCTCAGATTGCTCCAGTCAAAAGCTTGGCTGAGATGCTGGATATTTGAGAAAGTTAGTCTAAAGAACATGTTAACTATTTACTCCTCTAAATTTTCTGAGCTGTTTCTGAATCGGGAAGATGGCCAAAATCACCATGGTTAGACTATGGTAGCTCAGAGCCTCAAAGATAAAACTCATACTGGATAACTTTTCATCATAACAGCCATCTGCAATTTTTTCCCTAAAGGGTTGGTACAAGACATGGCCATAAAAAGAGACTAACCTCATTTTTCTGTAAAATTGAAATTTAAGAACTGATTGCATATGCTATATGAGAATCTATAGGGTATGTCTCCCAATTTAATCCCAGGACATTTTTATTCTAATAATATTGAATAATATTGAGCTCTGTAGCGTAATGGTAACAAATCAAGCTGCTAACCTCAGGGTCAGCAGTTCGAAACTACTAGCTGTTCTGTGGGAGAAAGATGAGGCTTTCTGCTCCCGTAAAGGTTTACAACCTCGGAAACCCTGTACAGGGTCGCTACGAGTCGGAGAGTCGGAAGCGACTCCACGGCACATTAACAACAACAACAATACTGATTACATATTTGCTATCAGGAACCACCTGGTAGGTTACAAGTTGGGCTGCAAAACCCAAGGTCAGCAGTTCGAATCTACTAGCAGCTCCTTGGGAAAAAGATGAGACTGTCTGCTCCCATATATTTACAGTTTCAGAAACCCTACACAGAGTCAGTATGAGTTGGAATTGACTCCATGGCACATAACCACCAACAACAACCACAGAAAGCCGTCTACATATGTTATTTGATCTTTCCTTATAACTTTGATGCATACCACATACCTCCTACCCTCAGATCCCCTTTTTAACTTCTAAGAAACTCAGAGTTAAATTAAATATTCAAAAGGAGTATAAACACTTGGGATTTTGTTTAATTATCTTCCTCTCCCCTGTAAGATTCTGATCTTTCTTCCCCTTACATTTTTGACAAATTATCATGTGGGTTTTTACTATGCTCTTAACTCAGAAGCATTTCTTAAAGTCAATATTCTATAAAGAAAAACAAAGTCCCACAGTCATAAAACATAATTTCCTTTTACTCCCAATTGGCAAGTGTTTCCATAAATAACTAATTTGAAGATGACTCCCTTGGGTATTTCACACCCTGGTCACTTGAAAACCCCGGATAATGCAATTTTCCCCACAGTCATATAGTTCAGAATCTATTTATATGATAGTTCAAAGAGACAAAAGAGGAAAGAGGTTGATTGACTGAATTTAACATTTGGTAACACGACCAGGCCATTTCCAAATCTATTACTAAGGGCTCTTTCTTATCATATATTAGATCATGACAGTTCCATGTTTGTCCCTCCTTAAATGCTACTTTTAGAGTGCCAACAATATCAACACACTGCCCCTTGGTCTTGTTGGGGCTGTCAGGGCAATGAGCACTGTTGGAACCTGCTAAGTGAGAAGGTATTGCTGTCACCCACTGATGACTGTGCCCTGGAATTTCACTCTTAGCACTGACAATACCTCTGGAACTCATAAAAAGCCTGCTGAAACCCAGGAAGCTAAAGGTTAATGTCTTCAGGGAATCAAGGTAAAGTGTAAGACAAACTGTAGCTGAGGATATCTTGTATGTACTAAAAGGCAAAAGCCCCCAAGAGGAACTCACAGAAATATCTCTCTGCATTGTCACCACACAGAATTGGGGTGGGGGATGGGGAAGGCAGATTTCATCTTAAAAAAAAAAATTGTAAGATAAAGCTAGTACCATTTCTACACGGACACACATTGTTGTTAAGTGCCGCTGAGTCAGTTCCAACCCATAGCGACCCTGTATGGGGTTTCTAAGGAGCAGCTGAGGAGCTTGAACAGCCAACCTTGCATACCAAACCGATTTTGCAGCCCTGTGCATTAACCCACAGTGCCACACCAGGACATTTGTTATACACAATTGGCATTCATCTAGACTACTTAGGTATTTTGGGGAACACTGAACACAACCATTCATTTATTTAGCATTTACCTGGCACTTACTGTGTGCCAAACCTGAGGGGCTTTTAAAAGTTTGTGGAAAATTCCATTATCCTTTGGAAGCCTCCTTGTAGGATTCTAGACTTTGGAGACTGATGAGTGAGAGCCCTGCTTTCATGAAGTTTACGTAGATAAGGAAGACAGTTAACCAACTAATAAACATAAATTTTATGAATAAGAAGGAATGAAAATAAAGCCAGCAAAGGAAAAAGAGGAAGGAAAAGCATTTGATGGTTATGAGATAAGAATGGTTATGGCCTTGGCTTCTGTAATCAGGGAAGTTGTTGTTGTTAAGTGCTGTCCAGTCGGTTCTGACTCATAGTGATACTATATAGGGTTTCCAAGGAACAGCTCGTGAGTTTGAACCATCTACCTTGCAATTCAAACAGACCTTCTGGTCAAGTGCTTATCCACACCAGGACGTCCATCAAGGAAAGAATTTCTAAAAAGTGACACATAATCCTACACTAGAATGACAAGGGGCTAAAGAAAGCATGAGAATCCTTACTCTGATTCCACCAAAAAGATGAGCTTACCAAAAACAAACAAACAAAAAAAACACACTTTTTAAAGTATGCAACATATTCAGATAATCGCAAAAAAACAAGGGAAAGAAATGAACGTACAACATTCTTTTCTCTTAAGGGGATTTTAGGAAATCACCTTTTCCCAAAGATACCAGTTTAAAGGCAGTTGTTTTCATTCATCTCTACTTATAGCAGAATGTATGATAAAGAAGGGAAAACGGAGGAAGAACAATATTTATTCCTCTTATCATGTAAGTTACTTTATATAGCAATATTCCAATGTCAACAGAATTAGCCATATGTATTGTAATGTCAATAGGAATTGCTTTAAAAAAAATTCTGTGGCTATATTCAATGTACCATACTTTCACTCACTGTAAAATAAATCCAAATTGTACTTACTAGTGGTCTCATTTCAATATACAACAAGCCTTTGAAATTCATTAAAAATAAGTTTTGTTGGTATCTGTTTAATATGCACAAACAATAAATTGTCATTTGTTCTCCAATATCTTCACAAGTAATCTAGTAATATAGACGATATCGTATATTATTTGCCAAACAAGTATTTACTGTTGAATTTCTGTTAAAATTAATAAAAACACTTAGCCAATTGACATGACATTTACCTAAAAACATTTCAATGAAACACCTTTTTTGTGTGAACTTTCCTAGTTCCTGCCTTCTTTCAGAACAGAAAGAGAGGTAAGCAGCAATGAGATAAGAAGTAGATCATTATTCACAATGAAGATTTAGAATGAATCCTGAAAAGTTTTTACTGAAACACAATTTAATTCCTTTGTAGGGTATACTATATATTATTACAAAGTAAAAATGTATACTAAACTCAGATCAGATAATGTAAAGTTATTGCCCAACAGATCTACATTACCTAACATATGTATCATTATAAAAATTGCTAGACTCTGATATTAAGGCACTGCCCAAGGCATTCTCAATATTTTGTACTTGAAAGCAGGTTTTCAAAACTGAATTTCACTAGCACCCTAACCAATAAGGTGTTAAGAGGAAGAATGTATTTCAAATGTATTTAATTTGTAGTGCTTAATGTACAAATTCTAAATTTGTGTCAAGAAAAGAGGCTGGAGAGTCTGAACCTGAGCAGGTAAACCGCTGATACACTTCATAAACTGCCATGCTTCTAGATCTTTCCTTTAAATATTTGGGAAAATTTATACATTTAACATAAAAACTCACCCCATTTCCTTCCCCTCCTCCTAAAAACAAATCAGAAGACTTAAGAATTGGCACTAATAATCTTACAGTTGTTACTAGAAAATCCTCCTCCAAATTGTAGCTAAGAAGGTCAAAATCCACAAAGAATAAAAACCCAAAGGATGGTGTGAGGGGTGCACAGCTGGTACAACTCCTGGAATCACAACAAACTCACAGGGGGCGACCCACAGGAGGATGCTATCAACAGCAGCAAAGTGAAGCAGCGGAACCTAGTTGTCCAGTGCCAGAGACCCTATAGAACAGAGCAAAACTGCCTCATAGGGTTTCCAAGGCTGCAAATCTTTCCCGAAGCAGACTACCGCATCTTTTTGCTGAAGGACAACAGCTGGTTGGTTTGAACCACCGTTAGCAAGCAACCAAGCACTAAACCACTGCGCCACCAGGGCTGCTAGCAGGACCTAGGGGAATAACGAAATAGCCACCTATTCCCCAAAGGAGGCGGGGAGAAGCCGAGTCGCCAGGCACTGGCAACAGCGCACGCCAACATTCAGGATAATTCTCCTTTCCAAACCCGGAGTTCCGGAGCAGGAGGAAAAAGGGGGATGGGGAACCCACAATTCCTTTAAACCTCCCACCCCCCTGAGCGCCTGCCAACCTTTTCCGAACCCCCGTGTCACACAACTTCCTCATCATGGAAACTTCCACTCGGTTCTGCGCTGAGGATGCCAAACTCCATTTCACAAGGAGCCTGTCAACAGCTGGGCTTAGGGTTTGAGGGACAGAGCTGCTGCGATTGGAGGGGGCCCCAGAGCCAGAGCCACCCAGCTCCACCACTGCCCACGCCGTGGCTCCCTGACTGCCGGCGCTGTGCCCAGGCACGAGAGGGCACCTTCTCCCAGACCCCAGGGGCAGAAACCCCGCAAAGACAGGTAATAAGGAGGTTGACAACCCACCCACTCACCCACGCCGCCCTCGCAGGGCTAAGCCTCCCTGCCTATACCCCTTCAGGTTTCTGCGACAACCCGGGCTCCACCACCACCCGCCCACCCTCTGGACACTAGAGATAGTCACCCCTTCCTCCTCCCCTTCCCCCTCCGCGCGATCCGCTCGCCAAATTACCGGTGCCCTCGAGCCGGCTGAGTTGAGCTCCCCTGACCGGGAAAGGCAACCTGCAAGCGCTTGCCCCGAGTCCCGGGAGCAGAAGGTCTCCTTTCCAAGCACACTCACATTATTCATGCAAAGTTAATCCCCGCCGCGTCACGGCCTCCCGCCCGAGGATGTGCGCCTTCCTTGGCCAAGCCCCGCAGTCTCCACCCTCCTCCGCCCCCTCCTCGCGGCGGCGGGGTCTCGGGGAGCGCAGGCGACGGGGCGTCGCGCGAGTCCTGCAAAATGTCAACTCCTTGGGCAAAGAGAGGCGGCCGCAGCCAGGGCCGCGCCGGCCCTCCCTGGCCACTTCACTTTTATTGGCGTAGGAACCGAGTGTGGCCCGGGAACTGGATTCCCCGCCTCCCGCGCCCCCAGCGCACCCAGCCCGCCCCGGCCGGCTCTCCGGGTGCTGCTTTACTCCGGGCCCGGGGCACGCCGCGTCTACGAACCGGTGATTAGGTTTCCCCTCCGGCTCTCCTGGCGGACCGACTCGCACAGTGGTGGCGACGGCCAAAAGCAGGCAAACCCGGCTCCGCCAGGGGCGCAGCAAGGAAATGGCCTCCTGGCTGCACACCCCGCCGCCGCCGCAGCCGCCCGGGCCGCCCAGCCGGCCCACCTAACCAGCACTCGCCGCTCTCGGCCCGGTTCAGGTCCCACATTTGTATACACCCACCACGCCCAGTTTGACAACAACTACCCCTTGGCCTACGCCAACACCACCCTCGGCTTGTCGCCTCCGCACCTGCCTCCCCAGGTGCAGGCATCCCCCTTCTCTCTATCCAGACCGTGACCCCCACCAGCCTTGCCCTGCCAGGGGTGAAGACGTTACTATGGATTCGATGGCAGTGTGTCCACCCACCCGACTGCCTGGCGCACGGGCGCTTGGGTTTGGGCATCATTCCTGTAGTTAAGGAAGAAGGAATAGGGGGCGAAGGGACAGACCCCAGGAGCCCGGTGCGGCCCATGCCGCCGCGCTCCGCCCTTCTCAGTCAAACCACTTGTGGTGCGTGTTGGGCAGACTCTATGCTTTGGTTCCTCCAGAGGCCTCCTGCAGTTTGGCAGTTTCCTTACTATCACCAAAATCCCGGGAATGGAAGTTTGGGACATTACCTGTCTTTCCCTTATGGGGGACACTCCTCTTCCACCCCCGACCCTGCCTCCACTATAAATACTCTGGAGAGGTGTGTACAGGGTTGAAACATGTAACTCCATAAATTCAAGAAGAGTGCTCCATTGACTAGTCTTTGACCTGTAAAAGTACAAAATACCGTATGACAAAAACGATTTCATCTTCTTGAGGAGAACTGTTCACAATATTATGGATTTCTAAAATGTCCACCATTTTAAATTCTGCTGACGTAGTGCGGTTACGTGTTGGGGATAAGTGTTGGGCAGCCCACCAATTGCTCTGCAGGTAAAAGATAAGCAGTCTGTCCCCGTACATATATATTTACAGTCTCAGAAATCCCCATACATATATATTTACAGTCTCAGAAATCCTATGGGGCAGTTCTACTCTATCCTACATGATCGCTATTAGTCTGAATCTACTCCTCAGCTGTGGGATTTTGTGTTTTTCAAGTCCTGAAGGCTAAGGGTTCAGGTTGAAAGAAAATAAGAAACAGGTAACTGTGGTGGGGACTAGAAAGATACTTGGAAAATTACCAAGTCCCCAAAGCCAAAATGTAGTTGACAGAAAGCTATAGTTGCAATAAAACTACTTTGACAAAAGAACACAATTATTTTCTTATGGACAATACTAAAATAATTTTGATGTAATTATTTGGTATATGCATTTATTCAGATAAAACACAATGTAATAGAATTATGACAGTTTGTATTGTCAACTGTCTGAACAATGTATATTCATTTATTTATTAGCAGGTCTTCTAGATTTCTGGTCAGTGACGTTTCTTCCTTATTCCAGCTTCTTGTTGTTGTCTCACAGAAAGGGGTGACATGCCACCACCCCTGCGGACAAAATTAATCACCACAACTGTCTGGAATTGGAAGCTGTTCCCTGTGCCTGGATATGAGGTGTTTCAGCATGCTTCAAGAGTGAAAGTTGCATGTCCCAACACTCCCCAGAGAGAGGGGCCTCAACCCTCAGCCTCTATTGACCTCATTTCCACTTGGCATTTGTTGATGATAAACCTGTGCGTTGTTTGTTCTTCACTTGCAATAAGACTGCACTAGAGAACTTTCAAGTTACTGTAACTGGAGAGAATTTGTTCTTCTTTGCAGTGAAGTTCCTGGGCTTTGCTCCAAAGCTGCCCTGGGATGTTTTGGTAGGTTAGGAGAAACACTGTGGAGTCTGCATCACTTGTTCCAAACATGCAGTTCCCTGGTGGCTAGATGTGGGTGAAAATTTTGGACAGTGAAGAAAACAGCCTGGCTGAGGTAAGTTGCAAGGATTGACAGGCAGGTCTTTGCAGGGGTACAGACCCTGGTAAACAACTGATTCTATTATTATTATATAATAAGGGAAAATTAAAGGTAAGGAAACATGCAAATCTTGTCACAAGGTAGATGAATAAGCCATAAATCCTGCTGGATTTTTTTTTTTTTTTTTAAACTTTGTTCTTTACTTGAGTATAACTTGCAGCTAACTTCTTTCTTAAAAGGAAACATCATACAGAGAAGAAATTTTAATGAACACTGTTGCTTCCCTTTGTTCAAATGGCTTTGTCTTTGTGATCACATTTTGTCTGAAAACTTTTGAAATAAAAAAACTAAATTAAAACATTAAATAAATAATGTGGCATTTTTCAAGCAATTCAAGGACTATGATTATAACAATATTATATAACAATGGGGGAGGACAATTTTAATGCATTGTTATTAAAACAACATGAACAACTAGAATTCCATTTGAATTGGCCCTGCGAGGGCAATCTTACAGGCAGCATGATGATAAAGAAGGGTTACCAACAGAACATGGTATTTATTTTTCTGGTTTTACACAACAGGGGATCATGGAGGAGAATTTCCTGGGGTCTTGATTGAAGGCAGGAAATATTATACACATTTAAAGCGCATGATCCTGTGACCCAATCCAACTGACTGTAGAGGGAGCACAAGGCTGTGTTCATAACCTGTGCTCACATTCCACCTAACCCCTTGTTATAGATTGAACTGGGTTTCCCCCAAATAGGTGTCTGAAATCCCAACCCCTTTACCTGGGGTTACAATCCCATTTGGGAATGGATTTTATCTGTCATGATACTGAGGCAGCATTACTGTTGGATGTGTCCAACTCTTTTAAGTATAATGGAGCAGATTAGACAAGGAAGCAAGCAAACCAAGCTGAAGGAAGACAGATGCCACTCCAAAGAAGCAGAAAAGAAACAACCCAGAGTTGACACAGAGAGAAAGTCTTCCCCTAGAGCTGTTGCTGTTATTAAGTGCCATCAAGTCATTTCTGACTCATAGTGACCATGTCTAGGGTTTCCAAGGAGTGGCTAGTGAGTTGGAACCGCTAACCTTGTGGTCCAGTGCTTTATCTAGTAATGCTACACCTGGAGACTTCTAGCCTTCTAAATTGTGAGATTGGAGTCCTGGGGTGACGCTGTGGGTTAATGTACTGGATTGCAAAGTTGGTTTGAACTGCAATGTTGGTGGTTCATGCTCACCAACCACTCTTCAGAAACCCTATACAGGGTTGCTATGGGTCAGAACCAACTTGAAGACACTTAACAACAACAACACACTGAGATTTGGGAATTATGATGTAGCATCTGCTTCCATAAAGATTTACAGCTTTGGAAACTTCCTGGAGCAGTTCTTCTCTGTTGTACAGGGTCACTGTGAGTTGGAATTTACTCATGGCAAGAGATTAAAATGTGGGAAAGAGACAATGGTGGCACAGTGCTAAGTACTCACTGCTAACCAAAAGGTCAGAGGTTCAAAAGTCACTGGTTGCTTCCAGGGAGAAAGAGGCAGCAATCTACTTTCATAAAGGGCACAGCTTTAGAAGCTCTAAGTAATAGTTTTACTGTGTCCCATAGGGTTTCTTTTGGATGTAATCATCTCAATGGCATACAACAACAAACTGTAAGACAATAAATTTGTTAAAACCACCTACTGTGGTACTTCTGTTATAGCAGCTCGACGTAAACCATTATCCTTAATCATCTGCATCCATGAGTTTCAATCTGGTGATTCAGTTCCACGAAGCAATTCATTCATATGAGGGGACAACAAAGGTTCGTGAAAAAATTAAATTTAAAAGACAGTGGAAATTTTCCATGAACTTTTTGAAGTTCTCTCATATATTCAGTCATTCAACAACTACTGGAGTCCAAAAACAAATGAAACATAGAACCCAAAAGGGTTATAATGTGGCGCTGTGGGTGAATGCACGAGACTGTAAAGCCATTTGAACTGCAAGGCCAGCGGTTCAAGCTCACCAGCTGCTCCTAGGAAACTCTATACAGGGTCGTTATGGGTTGGAATTGACTCAACAGCACTTAACAACAAGTAGATCAAGTTGTGCAAGTATAGGGTTAGAGCCTGTCTTTTAAAAATATTTGCATAATTATGCATTGCTATCCATTTTTCTCTTTTTTAATTGACGTCTTTCTCCAGGGAATGATACCGCCTAACAACATGCCCAAAAGTTCAAAAGACGAAGTTTCCCCATCTTCTCTAAGGAGCACTCTGGCTGAACTTCTAAAACAGATTTGTTTGTTATTCTGGCAGTCCGTGGTACTTTTAATATTCTTCTCCAATACCATAATTCAAATGCATCGATTCCTCTAAGGTCTTCCTTATTCATTATCCAACTTTCACATGCCTATGAGGCAATTGAAAATACCATGGCTTAGGTCAGGCACACCTTAATCCTCAAACTGACATCTTTGATCTTTAATATTTTAAAGAGGTGTTTTTCAGCGGATTTGCCTATACAATGTATCCTATAATTTCGTGACTGTTGCTTCCATGAATGCTCATTATGTACCCAAATAAAATGAAATCTTTCACAACTTCAATTTATTCTGTTTATCATGGCATTGATAGATCCAGTTGTGAGGACTTTTGTTTTGTTTACAATGAAATGCAGTCCAGACTGAAGGCTGTGGTCTTTGA